TACTGCTATCTTATTGGCTCAACCTTTTGGAGGCTGCTTGTATTCTCTGGTTACCCCACCAACCTTATATGGCTCTGTGGCCTTCTTGCCTCCCTCTTATAAAGACAGGTGTTATCAGACAGAACCCACCCATGTGATTCAGGATATCCCCCCCCCCCATTAAGTCTCCAATTCAGTCATTGTTTCTCATCATCCCTCTTTGTAAGACAATATGTTCACAGTCCTGGGATAACAAGATGGACCTTGTACAGGCCTGTTCTTCTAGATGCCTTCTAGTTATTGCTGTTGCCTCATTGAAGTCACTGCATCAGAAAGGTCTCCCAAGACCACCTTAGGATCCCCATCCATTCTGGTAATTTTGATTACATTGCCTAATTTTATTAACTCTGAAAAGGGTGGATTTACTTTCTAAACTTATTTTTTTAATCAAATTAATATCCACTTTCTGTCTCCTTCTAGAAGAATAGAAATGTGGTTAATCTAACTCCTTCCCATTACTTGGTAGGAGAAATTTGTCCAGTTGATCATTGTGAATATAATCCATGAAACCACTGTATATTAGAATTGCATTAAGTAATACACACTTTAAAAAACTGAACCTTAGTTAAAATAAGCTTTCCTTGTACTTTCTTTGAATTTAAGTGTCTCCTTGGAACCCAGTTGAGGCCCATAAAATTAAAAAAAAAGCAGAAAAGGGAACTGTAATACAAATTATGTAAAAATCAGACTGAATTATTCTGTGCAAAATAAATGGTACTAGAGAACATTATGTTAACTGAGGTAAGCCAGACAGAAAGACAAGAACTTCATATTGTGTTTCTCTCATATGGCAGTTTAAATAGTCTGGGAGAGGAGGAGGAGGACGAGAAAGAGAAGGAAGAGGAATAATAGTAATTATTAGAGGCTAGGAAGAGGAGTGAAAAGAAGTGGGAAGCTGTATAACAGGTACCAAAACACATTTGATGGAGTAATGAGCTCCAGTACTCTATTGCACGGTAGGATGATGACAGTTCACAGTAAGCTGTTATAAAGAGAAAAGCTCAGAGGCCCCACATACTAAGAAATGGTAAGGAAGCTGAGACGCTAATCACCCAATAAGTTTTTGTAAGTATTTTGAAATACTACATTATATCTCGTACAGATATACAATAGACATGTACTTATTAACAAGGAGAAAATAATTAGAATATTTTTGCTAAAGATAATGGTAGCATTACCTTGGTCTGAGCCATCATCCTGATGTGGCCTGTTCAGCACAGATTTACGGTGTAGCATTTCTAACTCAGAGACTGAGATGAATGCTGTGATAGTCACACAAGGGTCTGGGGAAAGTGGAGGAGGGAAAGGTTCATTTTAATCGAGACATCAAAATTCTGGTAAATAGGGATTCCCTGATCCTGTTCCCAAAACATGGTCTTAACTTTAGGAAACCCCAAGAGCTTTTAGGCAGGGAGAATACTATCTATTGACATGGCATTAAGAGCATTCAGGCTTAATGGGAAGCTGGTATGTCAGTAAGCAGGTAATTTGTAGTTGTATCACTGTATACTTATGCATCTAAGTGATTAATAAAACAGCCTCTAGTAGCCATTCAGGTAATACTGAGTGGGTACCCGGTGTGGCCATCACTGAGTCTGTGATCTCACCCTGACCTGCAGTGAGGAGAAGGAGATGAAGACTTGATGGGAGAGAGGTGTCCTGGATCGAATTGTGTTCCCAGAAAAAATTCCTGTTTTGGAGCTATCACTCGCAGTGTGATTGTACATGAAGACAGGGCTTTAAAGAGGAGGTTAAGGTTAATGATGTTGTCAGCCTGGGTCACTAATCCAAGAGAACTCATAGCCTCAGAAGGGGAAGTGACAGAGTACGCACAAAGACTGTGTGAGGACACGGTGAGGCCTAGCAAGAAATCGAGTCTGCCAACCTTTGTCTGTGGACATCTGTCCTCCTGAATTGTGAATGCAAACATCTCTGCTGTTTAGGCCACCCCATCTGTGGTCTTCTATTAGGGCCTCTGTGACAGAGTCTAGGAAGGTTGCTGACCTGAGTCCAGAAGTTCAGATAGGGTTGTTTTCAGGAAACTGCCCAGGTCAACAGTCTGGTTCACAAAAGCTTTCAGTGGAAGAAGTGACTAAGAGGGTTCATTGGACCAGTGTTACACATCATTTTCCTCCATGGCTGGGTTAAAATCAAGGCGTGCAGAATAGTAGGACTGACACTTGCGAGATCACAAGGATCAAATTCTACAGGCAGGCCTTCAGGAACTATTGGTCTGTCTCGTGTTGTTATAACAAAACACAAGACACTAGGAAATAGATAAAAATACAGATTTATGTTGTTCACAGTTCTGATGGGTGAAAAGCCCAAATGTCCTGACACCTGTGTCCTCAAGAGTCCTGAGCTGTGGACATGGTGAAGAGTCAGGAAATGAGCCTGCAACATGCAGAAGGGGGTCAAAGGTATAGGACAGCCTCATTTCACAGAGACCCCACCCCCATGGGTCAGGCATGACATGATGGCATAGGGCTTTAACCCAAACACTTGGGATTAGGACACCAACCCAAGTGGATCTCTGTGGGTTTGGGGCCAGCCTGGTCTACAAGCAAGTTCCAGGTTAGCCAGAGCTGAAAGTTAGACCCTGTCTCAAAAACAAAACAAAACAAAACACTCTCATGAGAACTAACATGGATCTGGCCACACTATGTTTATGACCTAAATAGCTCCCACTAGGCCCCACATTTCATACCACTAGTGTGGGGGCCATATATCCAGCTCATGAAACTTTGAGAAACAGAGTCAAATGTCATCCAGCCACAATGCCAGCAAACCAAACTTGAAGTAAAACATGTGCAAGCATAATTTCTTTGGGTTCAGTGTGGTGTTCTAGTGCTCAGGAGCTGACGTCATATGCCTAGTATATAACTAGTCCCAAGAGAAGAAACAGGTACTTCCTGGGGTTATTCTGCAGAAGTAAGGCATTAAGTAGATTACACTGGATTGCTATGGCATCAACAGTCCATCTTATAACTCTGTTGAGTTATAAGTACCAATGTGAGGCAGGATCATTCTCAGCTGTAAACATAAGGGTGTCTGAGCACTTGTCTTCCAGGTTAGAGGGTTGTTACTACAGCAGCTGCTAAGCAGGATTCTGTAGGCTGAGTCCTTTCAGATACTGTTCAATAGGTGAATGATTTGGTTCCAGAAGGCTTTTGTTACTTTTAGTCTTTCCCCAGCACTGAATGTGAAGTCTATGGCTGGCTGCGGCCCCTCTGATGCCCCTTCCCATGATGTTGCCTCTCAGGGACCAGCAGCACTGTCCACCTCATTTACTATACGATGCAGCTGTGTTGTTTTTAGCTCTAAAATAATGTTCATTGTTCCTCCTCATAATCGCAATTATACACACTTATTTTAGGAAGTTAGGCACATATGCAAAACAAACAAACAAAAAGCAAATAAAAAAAAGAGTACACAAACATACAGAACAAAACAATAAAAATCTGGAAATTCGTAGTCTGTTGTTTAGAGATAGCCACTATTGGTATTGGGGAGTGAAATGGAACAGGCTATTTTGTTTCTGTAACACAAAAAATAAATGACCCAGACATAGAAATAGGGGTTAAAACTTCAAGCTGAAAGTCAGACAAAGTAGTAAGCCCCAGATTGTTGCTTCTCCTCATTGTGGCTGGAGAATCCTGAGACTCCAAAGTCTTCCTATCCTCCTTAATACTGAGCTGGATAGTGAATGCCTACTATTGAACACTGAAGACCCTGCTTCTATCTGTTATATGCCTCTAGTGCTGGGATTAAAGACGTGAGCTATTTAGACTGATCCAATCTTATGTATCCCTGGATGGCCTTGAACTCAGGGAGATCTGTCTACCTCTTAATCCTGAGTCACACCACCTACTGATCTCTATGGCTTGTGGCTGACTACTTTCTGAATCCTCAGGCAAGCTTTAATAAATCATAAATATCACCACAGTGATCATTCAGTATGCAGATATTAACATGATCAATATGTACTTTTAGAGCCCCTTCTGCCAGAGATCCTAGGATGGCATGGTAAACAGTGACTATTTTTATCATAGAAACATTTGGGGGATGATATTCTTGGTACATACAAAGGCATAAGTTTGCTATTAGAAATACATGGCAGCTTCTGTGAAATTAGGTTTCACAGTTTAGAACTGTCATGCTATTTTTAAAGGATATATTAGAGGTTTGATGAAAAAGGATTTTTTAATTTTAGTTCAAATGTCTCCCCATAAATACATAATATTTGCAGTATTATTTTACTCCTGAATAAGTACAGTTTCCCATTTGAAGCTTAGCTTAAAAAAAGAAAAGCTTTACTTTAAAAGAGCTGCTCATAGATTAGGTGTAGATGGAGTTTCTCTGTGTCTTGATAGGTGCTTCCAAATAACCAGCCTGAAACTTAATATTAATTATAAGTGCATTGCCAATAGCTTAGGCTTATTACTAACTAGCAATTACATTTAAATTAACCCATAATTCTTATGTCTTGTTACCTCATATTGTACACATCCTGCTTCCTCTGCTTCTGGCTGTTGACTCCTCTGACTCTGTCTCTTCTTTCCAGAATCCTCTTTGTTTGGCTGTCCTACCTGTGTTTCCTGTCTAGCTACTGGCCAGTTATCTTTTTACTAAATAGAGTGTCAAATCCTCACAGTGGAGTTCCACAGCAACTAGGGAATAAGTTTACTGAGATAAAGTTGGATATGCATTATTTTAAGACTTGAGACAAGGCAGAAAAATAGTGCCCTTGTCTCCTTGACCAGATGGTAATTAACTTTGGATTGGTGACTGTTTGCCTTCCAAGAAGGCACACAATTTTGCTTTGCTATGATATCATATATCCTTGTCGAATTGCTTTCTCATTTGTGAAACTATGAGCCTTTCAGAATGACAATAAGAAATATGAAAGAAATAATCACCACAGCTGATTATAAATATGTTCTCCCTTTTTGATATTGCAGCTGACTCATGTGGACAAGGCAAGCTTCCAGGTGGATGCCTTTGGAACATCGTTTATTCTTGATGTCCGGCTAAACCAGTAAGTGCTTGCTGAGTTGTCTTCACTGTAACTATGCTGTCTAGTGACTTCAAGGTGTTAGTGCTGGTAATAATAAGAAATAAATGTGTATTAGGAATCGAATAGCTTTAATAGTTATATAATTTTACAAACATAAGGTAGGAGTTCTTCCAGCATTTTGTATAAGCATATGTATGATGAACTTCCTATGAGTGATAGATTATGAAAATATACTTAAGGCAGTAAAAGTCCTTTTGCTCTCTGTGTGTGTGTGTGTATGTATATGTCATGTGTACATGGTGGGCAGTTGAATGTGGAGGACAGAGGACAGCCTCAGATATCATTCCTTGGGCTCTGTCCACCTTAAATTTACTTATTTTGTGTGTGTGCGCACATGTGTGCATTCACTCACAGGTGCCTACCACAATGCTTGTGTGGAGGTCAGAGGACAAATAGTGGAAATCAGTTCTCACCATGTGGTTCCTCGGGCGTGTTGGCAGCACCTTTGGCTGTTGAGAAAGTCTCATCAACATATTTATTCATGTACACTTTGCCCTACTTTCCCATAGTTTTTGGAGAATTCTAGCGCAAAAACTTTCATTTTCTGAGGAAGAAACACATATGACCATATTTATCAGAACATGAATAAGGAACTTACAATACTTATAGAAAAGTGGATTTCTTTTTTTTAAAAAAGATATTGACATGAAAATAGCCTGGGATCCATAGTAAATGTAGGTGGCCGGTATCTATTTTCTTTAAAATGTTTTCTTTGTTCTTTAATTTCACGCATGTGTACAATGAAACATGGTCATACTTACTTTGTTCTTTCATACCTACTTCCTTGCATATTCCTCATAGCACCTCAACACATCCTTTTTCCAACTTCATGCCCCTCTCTTTTAAATTACCCACTAAACCCAGTTAGTATTGTCCATATGTGCCTGGGTATGGGGCCATCCACTGGAATGTCTCAAAAAATAGTGTCCCTCCCTCAGCAGCTGTTAACTACCAATAACTGCTTAATAGTTGCCTACAGTGTCTATGCTGGAATTTTGACTCGCATGATCTTATGCAAGACTTATGTGAATTCCTGAGAGCTATGCTATGTCTATATCTCAGTCACTGTTCCATGGCTGTCAAGAGATGCCGTGACCAAGGCAACAAAAGAAAGCATTAAATTGGGGTCTGGCTTGCAGTTTCAGAGGTTATCCCATTACCATCAAGGGGAGGAAAGTGGCAGCAGGCATGGATGGCATACTGCTGGAGAAGTAGCTGAGGGTTCTTCATCCTGATCTGCAGGCAGCAGGGGGGGAGAAATGCCTGGTCTGGTGTGAGCTCCTTTGAAACCTCCAAGCCTACTTTCCGTGACACATTTCCTTCAGCAAGGCTACACCTCCTAATCCTTCTCAAGTAGTACCACTCCCTGGTGACTAAGCATTCCACTTTATGGGCCTAATACATGGGGGGTGGTCATCTTTTTCAAATCACCACAGTGCAGAGGACAGCATTTCATAGCATTCTTCCGCACCTCCCAGGTCTTGATTCTTTCTACCTCATCTTCCAAGGTGTTCACTGAGTGCACGTGTATGTAGGGGTGGGGAGTACCCTGTTTAGGACTGGTCACTCAGCCTCATGTTCTCAGCACTTCCACCAGATAGGAAGCTTTCCATTGGTAATTTCCCACTGAAGAAGAAGCTTCTGTGACCAAAGTTAAGAGCAGCCAGGGTCTGTGGGTATAAACACATAAACACAAATGTTTAGAAAGCACTTTAGCGAGGATCACACTGTCAGAAAAGAAATTTCACCTTGTGCAGTGGACCTGAAATCCATCAGAGAGTTGTTGCTTATCCCATAATGCTTGCACCACTATTAGGCACATCTTGCTGGCAGGCTTAGCACTGGCTAAGACCACTGATGCATTTTCTCCACCACTGGCCTATGTAATACCCTCCAACATTAAAAGCTAGCCACCTGGGAGGAACCTTCTTGATCCTGTTTTGGTTTCTGTGTGTCTGGCAGCCAGAGTGTGTGTGTGTTGTTTTCCTCAGTATCCAGTGAATCCTCATAGGTGGTGAGAATAAGAGCATAATTAAATGATAATAACCTGGGGCAATGGACAATAGTCTGGTTGTTTTTTCAGACCTCTGTGGCTTCCGTGGCCAGTAACCTGCAAGGAGGCATGCCATGCCTTGTACTGCTGCTTTTACTTAATAACCCATGCAGTCTGCCAGCCAACTGTCCATCCAATCAGGGTATTCCACTTTAACTTTTTTTTTTTTTTTTTTTTTTAAGACTTGTGTTTCGAAATGAGCTTACTAGCTTACTAGGTTTCCGTAGGCTTTTTCATACATCTTTAGTTTTGCTTCCCCTACTCCACACTGCTAGCCTCCTTGCCTCCTGCCTTCATCCACATTTAATTCATTAACTCCCAGGATTATCCACTGACCAGGCATTTTTCACTTCACATGTGTTCTTCTGTGCCTACAGGCATTATCTTGTAGCTGGGTTGTGAGGTAGTGGACATTACTTGGTTTTTCATCCACCCCTCCTTTGGGCTAGCCCTCCCTCCACTCTTGGTTTCCTCTGTACTCCCACTCCCTGTCTTCCTGCCCTGAGTATTCAACTTCCCTATTTTAGTTTTACCTAGAATCTCCCATCTCCTGTCTTATAAGAACCCTCCCAAAGGCCTCTGTCTAGTTACCTGGCTTTTGCTGGTGCTCCAAGTTAAACACACAAAGGAGAAGATTTGAAGGCCGGATCTGTGTATGAGAAAGCTACTTATCTTTCTGAGTCTGAGTTGCCTTATTCAGTACATTTTTTTTTTGAGTTCCATGTATTTATGCAAATTTTTTAATTTATTTTTTCTTTGCAACCTAGTAATATTTTATTGTGTATATGTGCCATATTTTTTCTTATCCCTTCATCTCTTAGTAGATGTGTAGGTTGATTTCTTCTCTAGCTGTTGTGAACAGAACAACAATGGACATGCATGTGCAAGTGTATCTGTAGTAGGGTATAAAGTTCGTTAGTAGTTTATTTTCTTTATGCTGTTAAAAGTACAATAATGTGATGCATTTTAATCTCATTTTTATGTAGATATTTTTTCTTTTGCAAATCTCATTGTCTTGGTTTGACTTACCTTTATCGCTGTATTGGTTTAGGAAGAATGAAGGTAGAAATTGAATATGCTTTTAAAAAGCTTTCAGTTGCCCTCTCATTAAGCAATTCTATGGATGTGGAACCAGCAAACAAAACAAAATAAAACAAAACAAAAAAACAAACAACCCCCCCCCAAAATTAACTAAAGAACAATAAAGTCTGTGTGTAGCTGGATATAAGTTACAGAATAGATCCATTAATACTTATTTTTAGATTGGAATTGAAGGAAAAGAATCATTACATAACATTCTTTCAAAATATTCAGTAAAGCAGGTTATCTGTAACCAGATTATACAAGAGTTCATTCACCCTTTGGGTTGCAGTTTGGTAGAAGGAGTTTAAAAACACAGAAAGGCTAAAAGCAAGAAACAGCCAGTTCCTGTTTTGTTAGTTACAAAGGGTGGGAAGCAGCTTCCTTCATGGGTCATGGCTATGAAATTTCCCTCTTTAGGACAGATATTTTAATAATAACACCAAACATATGGCTTGCTCCACTTGGATTGGTCCTGAGGCTACAAGGGACCTTCCAAAAGTCAGCAAAGGTACTGCATTTTTGTGAAACATTCCTTAGAAAGAAGACATCTCAACATGTTATCTGAGCTATTCAGGCCCAGTCTTTTCCTGTAAATCATTCTGTTGTTACTCAGTAAGTGATGATGATAAAATTCCACAGAGCAGTGCAACATTAGTGGGAAAGTTTTCTCTTCAGCTCCCTACGTGTTTTATGACAGGTCACCTGTCAATCCCCACCCCTCCACTCCCAGACCTCAGAGAAGCAAATGCTCCACAGTCAGCTTCTGCTGGGATGGGAAACTTAAGATCTCTCTGAAATCCTTGTTTTGGAAGGGATTCTTCTGTATAGCTATCAGATCTGGGATGATCCAACTCCAACAGAGTGGTTTTTTATTTCCGTATTATGGCTTATCTCCCTTCTTATTTCAGTACATTTTTCTCTTACTCTGTGATTCTTATTGCAATCTTTTTAACTCCCTGTTTCACAGTGGAGGGTGGCACCTAAAGCTCAGCAGGTAGGCTGACCATGCAGAATGGGAAGTGTCCTGGAGACCGGTGGGGAGTGGGATGGAGGGGCAGAAGCAAGGTCAGGAAAAGAACACCCAGATTCTGTTCAAGTGGGAAAGTTCAATTAGGGGAATCACCTGCCAGTGAGTCACCTTCTGCCTTCTTTCCACTGGGACCTTGAATTTCTAGAAAAAATGGGAATCCTGGTAGATAAAGGATAGGATGTGAATTCAGTTGGACCCAAAAGCTAGCTCTGGAAATCCTCATTTTGTGACTATGCCCTACTTATAGAGTGGTTAGTGCAGATGATAGTGATAAATGATGAGAATAAGAGTATAATCAAATGATGTTTATGATGACAATAAATAGCAGATCTTTCACTGTTATTAATGAATCTATAAATGAATATTTTATACTAATTTATTGTTTGAATATTAATTTACATGTACATTTACTATTGCTTAGAAGACAGAACTGTGTTAAATAACTTGAGTCATTTTCATTTTACATATCTATATATACACAAACATGTATACACATGTACATGTATATAGACACACACACATACACATACAGACCTGCAGATATACATGCAGATAGACATATACACACATTTGTAATCCGCTGGGTAGTGCTGAGAGTTCTGGAACCCAAGAGCTTGGTAGGCCAGAAGGAAACAAGCAAGTGCCTTAGTTTTTGGTGAACTTGCCTTCTGGCCAAAAGGACCCTAAACTTGTTAAATATAGGTGATAGCAGAGAGTGGTCTTATTTATTGTTTTAAATTTAGAAACAATTTTATTTTACATATCAATTCCAGTTCCTTCTCCCTCCCATCCTCC